TTCACTTGTGTCCGCTGCTCGCACAGATGGGACGCATTCAACCTGTGAAATGTGAAAGAATACGCCCCTAGTCTAGTATCATTTGGATCAGCTTTGGGAGAACTTGTACAGCATCTCTCACTCTGTCCCTCTCCCTCTGGCGTAAAAATGCCCGAACATCCGCAAACTCAGCCAGCCCGGGCAATGCGCCGTTCGCGAGCAAAGTTCACCCCGAAAAGTCGTGAAACTATTCTGATCGAGGAGTTGCAAGCGTTAAGACGGGACTACTTGAACTGGTTATGCACTCGCTATGAGGTGGGTTGGCCATCGCGAGCTGCGGATAAAGCGGGTTACTCGGCGGTTGAAAATCCGAGTAAGTTCGTGAAAATATTCGAGTATTGTAGAAAGTAACATGCCGTGATCAATAAAAGTAGTCGGTTATCAATCACATCAAATGTGGCATGCCGTAAACAAGTTATCTCAAATGGAACGAAATCAAGAAAACCGTTCTTGTCACTTACCTCATTTACGATCATAGTGGACACGGTAATAGTTGATCACATTACTTCTTTTTTTGTACACAAATAGACCATAAAGATATTCTAGGTTGAAAACTATTTTCTGAAGTGTAGTCATGTTGTGGTAGTTGTATCATAATATTTTAAAATTAGTGTTTGCTTTTTACCTCGACAAGAAGAAGTAAGTCGAGCAATGATGAGAACCTTTTAATTCCTGAATGAGAACAACTATTTCAGTATTGACTGCAATCTGTCCACCAATTGAACAGCAAAATTATGTTGGTACCCCGATCCACCGTGAAAAATCAAAATACGAGGTACTTACAGTCGAAGTTAAAACATTGAGTCAAAGTACAAGTGTTTTTCAACCAGTTGAATACCATCCACCAATACGAGGTCTATTTCGATCGATTGAACCAACGGAAGGATGACCATCTTTTGTGTAATCATGCCCATGAGTACGAAGCAGCCATGAACTGTGAACATGTTCACGAGAAATCAAAAAGTCTTGCAATGTCGTTTCATTCTACTCGATCAGTTCGAACGATGACAGGTCAAGCTCAGTGATTTTACAGTAAATATTTTGAAAGGAATACGCATTATACTACTGCTATACTTTAAGTTGTTGAATGCAGACAAAGAGTGTTGGTTTCATTATCATCGGGAGAGGCAAAAAATGTGTGAGACCTGTCATGCACGTTGAACAAAAAACAAAATTTAGATGGGAATAAAAATTTATTACAAAAGTGATTTTTGTTTCAATAAAGCTATGTTTCGTTTGTGTAACCGAATCAAATACTGGTAGGCTCAAAATTGTCGAAGCATTCGAAGGCAATCATTGTGGAGGTGGGCAAACGAAACATTAAACTCATTGTAGATGAGACACTTTGGTTATCAAGCAATGTTAAAATGGTTCATAAAGCCTGAAGTGAAAGAATGAAGGTAATATTCACTTGCAATACGTTTTGGTATTGATAACGCCAATGAAATTTGAATTTCATGACGGGGAGTAAAGCCACAACATTTAATTGGAAGTGATTCTTTACGAATATGTGAAGCCTGATTACGAAATGATCAAACGTGGAAATATCGTTGACTTCTTCTCAGCAATTGCTCGTCGGTGCATTTTTATGAATGGTGTTCCCATATAGAAACTCCAGGTAATGATTAAATGGTACTGTACGGTCAAGCTTCTCCCATATTGTAGCTCTCGGGTTGGAAAGTGATTAAACTTCGGAAATTGCGACATGATATGCTGATCAACAGGGTATGCCTTTGAGTAGTATGATAAATTAATTTGGATATTTATGATAAAATGAACAAGATCGATGTCAACTACATTACTTCCGTTACTTATTCCCATGATTTATTATTATTACCCGCTNAGTCTTTGTGTATGGAAGATATTTTATTCGCGTATGAAGACCTCGGGTGAACATTAGAACGGTGCACTCGAAATCGGTCCCTTTTTCAGCTTCATTTGACTATTTATCCTCAGGGAAAGTTCTTTAACTCAAACTGAATTTCAGTTATACATATTGCCATATTAAATGGCATTTTAAGGGTGACCACCGAATTAAGTACATGGGGTCCATCATGAGCTGAATCGGTTCTGACAATATTTACGTCACAAAATTAGGGCGCATTGGATGATTCAGACTAGATCTCACTTACGTGAGCAAAACCACATTCAAGGTAAAGAACATAACGGAAAACAACTGAAACATCTGTTACTGTTTATACGTAATACATTGACTTTTTCCCATAATCCAAGCTCTTATTGTTCGCTGTGCAATGTTTCCAAGCTTTTCTGGTGAAAAATGTGTCTGTCAACATCCGCTCGTTGTTGCCGATGCTCACTGAAACCGATGGAAACGTTCGTTCTGGTCAGTGTTGGTTGGCATCAGTGCCACCGATATTAGTCATCATCTGATTAAGCCCAGCACTGGATTCACGAAGAGGCGCATTGCCCGAGTGCGTTAGACCCAGGTTACGATAGCCTTTGACAAGTGACCTGTCTAATTTCGTCAATGCTCTCAGATGGACTACTGTGATTATTGTTCAACCATTCGCATGAGCGAGCCAGCGCCACACTGATTATCGATCGATTGGAAACCTAACATCCTACTCAACACTCCGCTTATCAACCAGACCAATCGCGACTAGCATTTACCTGTTTGCACAACTATGTTAGTGCGATAGAGTCCATGGATCAACTAAATTTTACTCCCACCAAGGAGAATAGCCTTACAACGGCAAAAATAGTCTTGGTTTTGGTGACCACAATAACAAAAATGACCACAAAAGCTGGTTGTAATCATTATACTGTCCCCGCAGCAGAAGAAACCGGTGTATTGTACAAAGATTAATTTGCAGCAAAATCACAAATTTTCGGTTGTCTTAGCTTGTCTCTCTGCCGGAAATCAATCAATGCGCTCTTTGTATCAATTGCAAGTTCCCGTGATTTACCCGAAATCCGAGCGTTAATCAAGGCAATCAACTTGAACGAACACAATAACTTCTGCGCTTATCTGATTGAGATGCATTCACTGTTTGCAATTCATATTAGTTGTTGCGATGCATGAGTTGGTTCCGGGAGATTTTGTCTAACAACCAAGACCAAAATTTGAAACTTTTTTAAATAGCTGACTTCTCATCATAAAATTCTACATAGGCAATTTCTTCTTCTAAAGGACGTTCATCAGTAGGAACATAATGTGTAAAATCTTCTATCGGATCACATTAATCCTCTTGTGACTGCTTTACTCTCCAGTTCAATATGGGTTTGAACCCACATTTTATGAAAGCATTGTTCACTATATGCAGATGAACAGCTATCCAAGTTTGTCTGATCAGTTGCATGACCATGGGAATGATCGTTTCGGCTTTTATGTTATGCTGCTCCTTTACAAAAGACAAAACGCAGTCCAGTAAATAGTTTCGGAACGAACATTTATAAGACCAAGTCATGCAGTGATGCAGTGATTGTAACAGTGAAGAACAGTTCGGAATCAGCAATTCTATTTTACATCTAAGAATCCTTTGGCTTCGTTATGGCAAGGGACATAACCTTTAAATAGTAGGATAGAACATCCTTGAAAAATCATCCTGCAGCTGATATCAGACAGCCAAATTCAGAATAACGTAGCAGTATTAACCATTTTTCAGTCATGCTTGAACAAAGCAGTAAAATAACCCTTTCCTTGGATTTATTGACTCCAGAAATTGTTTGACCCTTGAAAGTTGAGGTTCTTTCTGGGAGCTGTTCGTATTATGAAGCTGTTTCGTCACTAGTGGAAATATCACACTATCGGCGTAGTTGTAAATCAACCGCTACTCGAAATTCGTCCACAGCATTACATGGTACTGCCAAACGTTGTTTATCACTTCCTTTGTAGGATTAAATAACACCACCACGACCCAAAACAACTTTTGAAAGCCCTAGAGTTACCAAGATGCATTCTTTTGTGCCAGTTCCATGATCTCGAAGACGATGTTCCTCACCAGTGGGAACTCACAACGCATTCCTCTCATAGCGATAAGCTGCGCCAAGGTCATAACATGAACTGCTTTGAACTTATCGTTTGTTTTCAGGCGGCATCGTTCATGAGATGCACTAGAGTTGGCGAATTCTCCAATAATGGTTCGACTGGATATGAGCAGTGTTCCTTGAAATACCAAGCAATTTGGCTACATAGCTCTGAGTCACATTTCGCTTCATCAACATTTTCTACACATTCTGCTTCTCTCTGATAGACAGGCAACAGCATGTCGTGGGCTGATGGAATCTATTTGCTTCCCCCAGGAGAGTTATCTAATTAGTGAACAACCTCATGTGTGAGTCACACTAGGTGAAGCGTCACTGGCTGAATGCGACTTTTCATTTTGGTCGGTCAGTATCCAGCCAGTACCTCTGTTACCGACCAAGTATCATGCAGTGCGGCATACTGAGATGAGANTTTTGGGTAGGAGTTTCTTAAATGGTGGATGAACACCTGTTCAATGACAGCCGAATTAGCCACTTTTATAGTATGATTGTGATCTGAGACAACTGATTTCCTATTTCAAACTAAAATCACAAATACGCTGGATTCGTGGGCTCATAATTAACTGGTCAGCTTTTGAGGAATCAATCAGTACACTAGGGATAATTGAAGCAGTGTGACGACGCCTATTCGATTCGATTTTACGGTATTTTCGTTCCCCATGTCCGTGA